ATTTAAGTGTTTTACCTTATGATAATAGTTTTATAGTTATCAAAAGTATGTACAATCAATCTGATTTAAAAAATGATGAGTTTAAATTTTATTTTGGAAAATGGATATCATTCAACATAAACAAACTAATTGATATATTTCTGATAGTATATGTGGACTCATTAAAAAATCTTAATATTGCTTATATCTTAAATCAGCAAATATTTCATTTCAACCAATCTCTTATTGCAAATTTCAAGGAAGAGAAAACATTTACAAATCAATTTGTAATGAATTTCTGTACTGACAATGACAATGTCAATATTCATGTAATTTAATTTAATTAAAATTTGTATCATATATGAAACTTTTAGATGATATTAAACTTTTATCAAACCAATGAAAAAATGAAATCAATATCTGGAATTAAATTATTAGATTTAGAGCTCAATTATAATATTTGTGATGATAAAGTTTATTTGAAAAAGAAAAGGGAATATCAGGAATGTTTATTTGATTTTAAATATGGAAAAATTTTAAAATGTTCTTTTCTTCCTGCATATGATACAAATGCACAAACTAATTTTTCTAATATTTTAGTATTATTTGAATATGGTCATTTATTATTAATAAGGAGTCTTGAACCTGTAGATCAGGTAACTTTATAGTTCAACATTTAATATTCTATTTATTATTTAAAACCTAAACTCATAAGGATATTATAAATATATTTAGTTATTATAATTTTATGAAGTTATCCAAATTTTTTATTAAAATTTTAGGTTAAATATACCTCTGAACCCTTATTCAAAGATGTCATATCGTATGATCACAGCTCCTTATTTTGTTCCCACATGAAAAGCAATAATAGTGGTAATCTTCACTACTTATATTTATTAATCAAGAAGAAGCGATATTTTAAAATAATTTCTATATCTATCCCTTCATTAATTATGAATGAAGCATTTATAAATCTTGTTAAAAATAAGCATCAAATAGTTGATAATATGGAAATGCAGGAGATCAAAATTGAATCAAGTCACAATTTCAAGCATTCAGAAAACATTGTGTTTGAGGATTTGAAGCTTAGCCCTGATCATGTTATCATTATAGTAACATCAATTAAAGTAATAGAAAAAAAAGATAAATGTCATATCCTGATTTGTCTTATTTTGATACAATTGTTTGTTTACCAATCTATATAGCTTCCTACAAACAGCCTAAAAAGAAGGAGCCTATTTAGATTTATGATTAATTGTTTATACCATAAAATTTATAAATAACAAATAATATTTATTTAATGTCAAACTAAAAACAAACCAGAATATAGAAATAAGTTTCAAAAAATAAGATTAACCAGGACATGGCCAAAGCATTTAAATATTTATAATTATGTGATAGTTTGGTAATTATATTAATAAAGCTGTTGTTTATGTGTCCAGTATTTTTAAAAATTTTAACATTATAAATATGATAAAGCTTTTACCTTAGCTAATGTAAAAATTCTTATTTTATTAAATCTTTCAACCCCGACCATTTTTATTTTTGCTGACGTTAATCAAATTATTTAATATAATAAATTGTGACAAACATAAATAAACTTTATTAATATATATTTTATAAATATATGCAAAAGCAAAATATATAAAAATTTATAAAATTATTACAATAAACTACAAAATATACAAAACCATAAATTTTTTCTGGGTTTTTTTTGCATATTTTGGCAATGGCAATGTTATCAATTTAAACATATCATACATTATTGATAAATCATCTTCTAAAAATATGTCGCATTTTTGGCAGAGCCATGGTTCCGCTAAAATACTATTATATGAATTATTTATTTTTCTCCATGCTTCCATTGTAACGCCAAAGAGATTATCAAAAATTAATGCAAAAGATAAAATCGATAAACAACTGATAGCTGTCAATAGGTATCCATACAATTACATCGAGGGATCGATATCTTAAAAATTATGATGCCGATATTAGTCTCCGTAATGGAGAAGACTAAATGATTTATATAATAGTCATTTATCGAGACCATGGCTCTGCCAAGGATAGGACATCATTTTAAAAGATGATTTATCAATTATGTATTTAAATTGCTACCATATTCGCTGCCAAAATATTGTAAAAAAAAAATCCGAAAAATGTGTATATATTGACGTTTATTGTAAAAATTTACATAAATTATATATTTTCCTTCTACACATGTAAAATATATATTAATCAGAGACCTGCAGATAGAGGACTGCAAAGTAATTTTTTCGCAACCCGAGCCCGAATAAAATTTTGCAATTTGAGTTTGAATATTATAATAGCCAAAAAAAATTTATGTGTATTTATTCATCGCCACCTTATATAAATGTGTATTTGACGACCATAATCTATTCAAGATATATATTAAGTTGCATTTTATTTAATTTGTAAAAAATATTATAAAAAGATTAATATACAAGCGAATTAAAAATTATAGCGATTATATAAATATACAATAAAAGCATCATTTATGTCGAATATAGATGATAATGATATTAAAGTTAATAAATATATAAAAAATATAATGAACATATTATATTATATTAACAAATCAATATCATTATCAAAAGTATCACAAAGTGAATAATTATGATATATAAATAAAGAGGCGTCCAGTTTATCTGGCTTTTAAAAAGTCCCTGAAAACGCTCTTTCACTGCTAGCCGACGAAGCAGGGATAGCTAGAAATTTAAGAGCTAAAATACTTAAATTTGGAAACTCATTATGGTTTGTTTTCCACCAATTTAAAATATTATCATCTTCTATACATAATTTAGGATCTAGGTATTTTTTAAGCTCGTCAACTTCGCCGCTAGCATCAGAAAACGCATTGTCAGCCTCCCATAGAGATAAATCCAAAAACGTATCTACCTCAGTATTTTTTTAAGAAAAAAAAATATTCATAATATAATAATAATATTAAAAGATATATATTTACTTTATTATTTTTTAATAAATAATTTTATTATTAATTTTATGAACCTTTATTTACTACTCTATCAGTTGAGCGTTGATATTTATATACTTTTGCTCAATAATATCTGTTGATTTTCTCTGCATTCATCAACGTGTTAATATGTTGACACAAATCTTTATAATGTTCTCGGGATAACATTTTCATATCCCGAAATTTTGGGCACAAAAACGTCGTAATTTGGTGGAATATATCTATTTGAAATTTATCCACAAATATTCCCGACATCTTTGCGATGTTTAGCTGAGAGTTTAAGTTAGGATGCGCTAAAAAACTCAATATTTTATGATAACACAATGTAAATTTGTGAATAGTGAGTTTTAAATCACTCGCAAGTTCATCACTCGCAATTTTAAAAGGCGTCAGAAACTTGATAAGATCCCTCATCATTTCAAAATATTATTGTTTAGTCTAATCGACTCTCCTCTGGAATTGAGGATCCCCAATATTTAAATTGATTAAAAATCGATTCAATCATATTTAGCCTGCTATTCCATCTAGTCTCAACACACATATGAAGAGTTTTATCGAGCTGATTAACTAATCTAAAATTTAATGATATATTTTAATAAAAAGTTAATTTATTTTAAAACTAGTTTCAGATTTAATATCTATATCTATTAGAGTTTATACTAGATTTGAGAGATGATTTAAATCTTTAAATATTTCAACATGATTAACATTAGAAAAATTTAGTATGTAAGAAAGATCAACTAACTACAGATTATGGTAAAAATAATATGGATAAGGACAATTTTACTACTACTAATTATAGAAAGCGAATAAATAAGGTTATTAGGATTATTTTTAAAATAATCATGACCAATTTGTATTTGGAAAAAAACAGAATTATAGAAAGTTTTATAGGAGAATGTATATAATAAAATAATAATGAAAGAATAAAACTTATCTTATATCTTTAGTACATAAAATAGTTTGTCTTGTCTTATCTTGTACTTCACTGGGGAAACACACAATTAAGTGATAAAATATTTTGGTATCCGGTTGTTAGGTAAATTATAAAATAATAATTGATAATTACATGACATGTTATTATGATTGAAATTTTAAGATAAAATGGATAAATAAAAAATGATATGATTTTATAATTAATATTATAAATTATAATAACTATTTAGAATATTAATATTATTATTCATTTTTCGGGTTAGGTCGGGTCGGACAGCTCTTATAACCCGACCCGAGCCCTAACCCCAAAAAAACTTTTCCATGTCCGAACCCGAAGCTCGGGCCGGATCGGGTCGGGCCACGGACAGCCCGTGCAGTCCTCTACCTGCAGAGATACCATTTGCACGGCACCCGGATTTAAAAAAATATTATTCTTACTTTTTATAGCAAATAATGGCTATTTAAAATATACGGCTGCCCGGTCCGGTTATTTTTAGAAATTTTTGGGCCCGTCCCAGATATATTTTTAAAAAAATTAAAATACAAAGCTTATTCATGTTTGTAACAATTTATTATAAATACAAAGTTAGATTTAAGCCAACAAAATATAGGTTTACAATCATGATCTTTTTATAGATAGCACACGTGTATTTTTCTCTTGAGACATTTTTCTATAATTTGGTTTGCTTTTTTTATAAAATTGTGTAGAAAATTTATGCCCAATGCAAAATGAACCAATACAAATATTAATTATATTTGTATTGGTTCATTTACTATAAGCAACAGTTATTTTATAAGATAACAAACTACAAACAATAATTTTATAATTATGTAACATTATTTGAATTGAAATGATGGTACATTTAAAATATTAAAATTATTTAGATATTTCTACATTAGTTACTAAATAATATAATGTAACATATTTATATATAATTTTGATAACCAGCCTTATTAATAATAAGAAAGACGGGAAATACTGAATATTTATTTAAAATATTAGAAGTTTTAATTATTATATTTATAATATATTCAATTTTTTTAAAATATTTTAGGGAATCATAATGGGTTATTCCAACTTTATTCAGAAAAGAATCCCACTGCATTGCTACAATAATTTGTTCCATATAGTTTATATGAAATTCTTTGATAATCAACAACGAATGCTTTGTTTACACAAAATTGCGCAAGATTCCGAAAATGTAAAAAAATATTCCGCTAATCATCCAGATTACAATTAACTGCATACATTAATTTATATACGTTATATTATTATTAGTATATTATATCCCCGTAAGTGCAGGTATCTGAACCATAAGGAATATCGGTTTGGATAAAAATAACGGTTCAAGTCTTTAAAATAATATCGGTTTGGTTTGAACCTTTTAAAGCTGGTGCTAACTTTTTCGCATAAAAACTTTTCTTTAAAAGCACATATTCAAAAATATTTTTTGTGGTATTCCCTAAAAAATCATATTAAGCCCTTATACAATTAAAATATTTTCAAGATTCTCCTCTGTTAACTTACATCTATAAGAGGGAAAAGTAAATTATTTGGTTGAAAACATCTTCATATGTATCTGGCGTTAGAGACTAATACCACTGCGGGGGTGACGCTAACATCATCGAAATTGGGGAAAGGCAAGGAATTATGAAGATCTCGTTAAATAAAATTGTAGCGAGTAGTTTCTATTTGAATTTCCTTTCTTTGCTAATTCTGATTTGGTATTAGCGCATAAAAAATGGAATCGTAATTATGGGGGTGTAGAAATCTCTGATTCTCTGTCAAATAGAAATATACAAAAATATCTAAAAAGGACTACTGATACTTATTAATCAAAAATGATTGATAATAATCTTTAAATGATATCAAAAGGTTCAAGTCGATTCACAGACCTTTTTAAAGATTCAGCTCAGGTTCGGTTTAGATTCTATAAATAATACTGGTTGTTCGGTGTGGATCTCTCTATAAGTGTCTATCGAATTTGGGTAAAATACTCCAATTTAAATTTTTCAAAGGGATAAAAGGATATTTAAGGTGTTGATTTTTATACAGAAAAAAATGGCATGTGCTCGCAACTAGCAATAATCTCAATTCATAACTTAGGCATAGCTAGGATTTGGTTATTGGTTGGGGGGGGGGGCTGGAGAGAAAGCATTATTAGATGGGTATTTTGCTATCCATTTAGTGCAGGCCTTTGGCTATGTTAATTTTTTTAAAATAATTTTTAGTTTTTAATTTATATTTTTTATTTAAGCTGTATCCAAAAATAAAAATTTTAAATTCACAAACTTTCAAAACTTTAATGAAAATAAATAAACAAGCTATTTTAATTATAAAAATATAAACTTGTCCAAAACATAATTCTAGAAAATTTGATTAACTTTAATATAGATTTCAAAATTTTAAAATTTGCGAAAGTTTTTTGGATACAGTCTAAAATGCTTATTTTTTAATGAAAATTTTGAATTATCATTATTTTAAAAATGTTATAACTTTTACTTACTTTTCTTTCAAATTATTTTTTTATAGTAATATATTATGATTTAAGATGAAATTTTTTTTATTAGCTTTAAATGCTATTTACGAAAACAGACTATTTCAGAAGTAGAGGAACTCCCCTTTCCCCATCGTTATGCCCATAGTTCATAAATAGGAAAAATAAATTTTTGAACGGAGATTTTTGAAAAAACCTTGTAACATTATATTTTTATGCTTAAAATAGTAAGAAAAATATCACCCAAGAGGAATTCAGATAAATCACCTAATTTATATAAAGTATTCCTACTTTTGCTTTGATTTAGCTAGAAGGAGGTGGGGTGGAACATTTTAATAATTTCTTCGTCCTTCATTTCCATTTAATTACAATTGTTTATGGGGGGGGGGCTATGAATTTTAATTATCTTATATTAAATTATTTGCAACAAAAAATAGAGACATATAAGCACAATGCAGACGTCTTCCATTTTGCCAGACATCGATTTTGAGGTATGCGAAAAAATAAGTTTTTACATCAATGAAATGGGCTGCAAAAAATTATGGTACACGGCAATCCACTTTATTGACCGAACTCATCGAAGTTTTATCAAAGTTTTCCAGGCTAATTTAGACACTGACCCATCAAAAAGTTATTAATTAATACCTTAATTAATTATCTGTAATATTTATAGCTCTTGAGTAATTTATTCAGTAATTAAAATGTTTTTTTGTGCTCGAATTAGGCGAGTTACTCTGAAATTGTAAATTTAAAATACGAACAATTTTTGAGAGTTTGATTGAATATTACTATTAATTTTTTTTCTTTTAACAAACAACTGTTATCAAAATACCTCAAGATATGAGAATATTGATAGAAAGTATTCGATAGGAAAAAATCTTTGATTTGAAATCCTTTAATTTCTATAAAAATTAATCTTCAAATTTCGAAAAATTAAGGAACAAATTAAATTTCATTTGCTTAGAGTGGAGTTCCAGAACCAATATTGAATTTTAAAATCTAATTAAATTCTTAACAAAACATTAGCGTTGTTAAAAGTTAGTTGTGAAAAGTAACTATAAATTATAGTTACATTCTTAAAAAGGTAACTTTTTGATTTTTAATTTATATTAATTAACTAGTTACATTTCAAGCGTTATGTATATTTAATATAAATCATCATTTTTTAAATTATTATTATACAAAATTATTTTGTACAAATTTTGATCAAAGGGTTGTAAAATAAAAATAAAATTTAAATATAGATATAAAACTGAAAAAAATATATATACCAGAATATAATATTTATTGCACTGAAAAAATATTTACATAACAAGATGCAATTTTATTTTTCAAAAATAAATTGGGTTCAATAAATTTTTATTCGACAACAACCAAATATTTTTCAAAATTGTCTAAGAGGCATACTGGATTTCTAAATAAGAGCTTTCCTAGATTAAACAAACGTTTTACTTTAGAGCATGATGTGAATGAGACATTATATCTAATAAAAAGTAATTTTGAATTTAGATAATCATCGTATAGAGAAAATAGATGAGAGATATATAAATATTTGTAATATTTTTAAAATATAATTTGAAAAAAATTACTTTTGTCGTTACATTTCAAAAAAATGCAACTATATCATTTAACATTTAATTCCAGAAATTAGAACTTTAAAAATATTGTCTTTTGCAACAGATCAATTAATCGAAGTATTGAACTTGCCTTTGCTCAAATTATCCGACGAGAAGAAGGTTGGAGAAATTGCGTTAAATTCTTCCCATTTATTTATCTTCTACACGGACAAAAACTTAGAGATAGTAAAGGTAAATCTTAGGATTTTTTTAAAATAAACTTAAATCTTAATATTTTAAAGTAATGTTTGTAGGTATATAAAAAACAAAAAGCAAAAGGACACGTTTTTTTTTAAAAAAAAGGAAAAATCACACTGTCCTAGATGAAAAAAACTTATCAAAAGATTTAAGAATTACATAACTTTCGTGAGTTTTGAGGGGTAGGAAACATGTCCAGAATCTTTTATTAAATCTCCATTTAAAATATTAAAAGTGTTTGATGTGAATGATTTATTATATATTTTATATTATTTTTCTCGCAAAAATTGCACAAATTACAAAATTTTAATGATAAAATGATTAAATTTTTATAGTAGTTGGTACAACTTTTAAGAATCACAAAACATTCGCGAATTAGAAAAAAAATCATTTAGACTAATACTTTAATTTTACGTTAAAAAAATGGCTTGATTTTTTTTCCCGATAAATTCGCGTAATTTTTGAGATTTGATTTTTGTATATTTAGGACAGAACCTTAAATAAAAAAAGACGAAAAACAAAAATTAACAAAAAAACACAATATTTCGAGATCTTCAGCTGCCAGTGGGCGATTCTTATCTGTAGTTTCCATAGTAAATCGCTCACTGACGAGTCATGGGGATGACCTAGTCGAAAAATAACTCTAAAATTACAAAATATTATTTTCATAAGAATTAGTAGTAAGAAAAAGATTTGAAATTATTTAAGAATTAAAAAGAAAAAAAATACACCAAAAAGGTTTTTTTTATTTGCCAGTTTGTCTTCATAATTTTAAATATATTTTCGCAAAATTTTTTATCTCAGATATCTCCTCACTCTACCAAAGATGAAACTATTATCGTTGCGGATAATTCTTTGATCCTCAAGGGCGTAACTTGCTTTGGAATATCCAACGAATCGCTATTTTACGCAAATCAAAAGGTAAAGTTACAAAAAAAATTACAAGTGATTTTTTTTAAAAAGTTAACTAAAAAAGTTTTTTTTAAGACATTTAACCTAAAAATTATGTATTAAATAGATACTTTTTATTTAAAATAAAACAAAATCGGGTTACTTTCTAAAGTCAGGTTTTAATTTTCTATTCTACAATATTTAATGTTAGAAATTCTCGTTCTAAATATTAATTCCATTTTGCCCTTGGGGGGAAAAAAGTAATGTATCTATGTAATTCTCTCAACCATGACCTTCGCTATTGACTATTCTTACAGAATATCCTTAAATTCAATTTTATAAATGAAGCTTTTTAAAAAAACTACATAACATTCTTTTGCGTTTATGAACAAGAAGTTTTGATTTCAGATAACTAGTGATAACATCATAATTAATTTTTTGATATAAAACGTCAGAATCAGATTCTCTTCCATGATTTAAGCTATCATTGCGATATCATCAGCCAACAATCCCTTCAAAATGATGGCGCCCATCTGTTAAGTCACCATTTTAGTATAAAGCGTTTGACGGTACACCCGAATATGTGTATATTGGTATTCGTGGATTCAGCGGGAAATCATTTTTTTTATGATTTGGTATAAATTTTTAAGTTTTAAAAATTAAATTCTACTTAGCAGAAATATATGTATATTTTATTAATAATGCGAGAAATATTTTTGCAGTGGCTCTAACATAATTGCAGAAATCGAATTATTTTTATTATTTTTGCGATTGATTTAAATAAATTAATATTTTTTAAAATTTAATTAAAGGAAAAGGATCATTTATCTTCAATCGATGTTCAAATATCAAATGAAACGAACGAGTTGCACACTAAAGATTTAGAAAATATTGGTTATCTTGATCAAACTCATATAATATGGGATTTATCTTTGCACGAGTCGTTTTACCCTTTTCCCGTGTTCTTAGTGCTAAATAATCAGCCTCCTTCTAATTATGAATTATTGGTATACGTTTACATGTCCAAAACTATCCATGGTAATTATTACCGGGGGGGGGGGGGGTATTATATTTTTTACTAAATATTTTGATTTTGGTGATTGATAAAATATCACCTTAAAATATTAAATTTTAATATTAACTTGACAAGTGTTCGAATTAATGTATTTTACATTATTTAGCGACTTGTCTTATATAATACCTGCACTAGAGTCCTGCAGGGCTGAATTATCATTGGTCAAATCGGCAGTAGAACAATTATTAGTACATAGATTCGGCGCTTGGTCCGAATTAATTTTTTATTTCTTTCCTATTCTTCATTTTTTTGCTAGATTGAATATCATATATATTAAATTTATAAATTAGGTTTAAAAAAAATGAGTTGGGAATATTATTTACTTTCTTTTAATAATATTTTGTAATTAATAGAATTAAAAAAAAATAGATATTAACCATTATTTAAATTATCTAAGATAAAGTTTTTAAAATGCACAACATTAAAATAGAGAATAAAATAGATATTTTGAATTCGATGTTTCTTGCCTATTAACTTAAAAAATTTTTTATACAACGGACCCGAGTCGGGCCTAGTTTAAAAAATTTTTCCATTGGTTATCGGGTAGGCTTGGGGCAGGACATTCTGATTTAGCAGGTGTTTAACTTTTACCACAAATATTAAGAATACTATTTTTTTGGACATCTGATAGTTTTCTATATTTGTCAAAAGTAAATGTTAAAATTTGGAAGTTTATATTGTTCCTCAATTCTGCAAAACTTTTTCAACTATTACCTCGAATGTCAATTTCCTTGAAAATATTATTCCCCAAATAGCGAATGCAATATCGCTAAGACATTATAGCAAATTTAATTTTCCAATATTTATAGTATGCTGATTCCCCATCAAAGCTATCAGTTTGTTTAATTTTAGTAGGGTGTCATAGAGGTCTGTAATGGGCGGGGTGTTTTAAACCGAAAACCCGCCTATTATTTGAAAAAAAATTAACTCGCTCACTTGTCCGCCCTAAAATTTTAAATAAAAGCTTCTCCGCTTAGACCATTTATCTAAAAATTTTGTTTAACCCGCTCACAATTTTTTAGAATAATTTGATTAGTTGGTTTGGCTTTTATTTATTTTAATTTATTTTTACTTAAACTTATATAATATGCAATATTATGAAATAATAAAATAACCTAATATATAAGCCTGTTCTACTCATTTTGTCCGAAAATTATCTTTAATTCACCAACCCGAACACCTATTGTTTTTATTTTTTAACCCGTTCACACACCCACCCAATGAAAATATTTAACCTTCCGCACACCCCAGAAATATAAAAATTATTATTTTATGCCGATCAAATAAATTTCGTTTCATAAATAGTAAGTGAGAGATGCTTTTGCTAAAGTTTTCACTAATAGTTTATTCGCTATAATGTTCCCGATAATACATTGCCCTAGAATTTTCTTTTCATGGTAATATAAGTTTTGCGCGGAAATGACATGTGAACACCGTAAAGCCGTCTATCATTCAGTAAGAATTTTTTTTCTGTTTTTAATAATTAATAATCAAAAATTTTGTTTTTAATTTCACATTCATTTATTTTCGTTTCTACCTTTTATTTCTCTATCAAGGTCCCCTCTTGAATATGATCAACCGTATACTATTGAATAACTTTCTAACTTTCAAGCATCTTAGCAAACATCCCCAATCAAACATATCAGAAAATCCCTTTACCGTTATCACAGCTTTCCTTAGTCTCGGAACCTTATCTTTTTGGTCGCTTTACAGTCAAGAAATAAAATCGGAAAAGACTCTAGAAGATAACTTAAATATGATCGATTCCTTACCCGTACCCGAGTTAAATATCGAGGAGATTCTTTTGTCTTCTGAAAATATTAATATTCCTAAAAATAATAATGTCAAGATAGACAGTTTGAACCAAAATGACAATAATAACATTATTAAGCGTTTTCTAAACGCTCTGGATATAGGGCACTTGCAATTGGCATGGAAAAGGTTGCATCTTCTTCGAGAAAATCATATCAAAATCTACGCCGAAATTTTTTTGATCAAGGCACTCCGTTTGATGCGTATCGATTGGGGTTCGCTTTTTTAAAGACAATTTATAATTTTATTTTAAAAAATATATTTTTCACTGATTTAATTTTTTTTACTAAAAATTTATAATAAATTTAGTTTATTTGTTTCTATTTGACTAAGATTCAGATTCTATTTTTGATCCTAATTTAGTTAGGTTCAAATTGATATTATTAATTGAAAATTGTTTTGCTTTAAAATTGATCGAGTTAGAACCTCATAATAGTTAAGCTACTCTTTTGTTAACTAAATTTACACTCGTATTATAATTATTTGAAGCAATTTGTGGACAAAATTTATGAATACTTTTTTTTAAAAAAAAAATCCTACGCAATTGTTTTAAGCAATTTGTAAACTATGTAAAAAAAATTTTTTACCATAAATTAATACAAGACAACTACTAAGTATGGTAATTACTATAATTTTAGCCGTTTAAACCAATTTTTAGCCGGATAAAAAATCGGCAAATACAAGATATTAGAAAATTTTCACTTCCTCTGGGTTTTTTTAAAAGAGAGCAGCTCAAATTTGAAAGAAACTAATATAAATTAAAACGCCTTAATGTTAACTTATTTTCTTCGGAAGGCGCCAGAAGATTGAACCCAATTAGCCAACATTTCTATTACCCAAGTTCTAAGCATACTATTTTTTGTTTGAACAAATCTTTTGCAATCGGAAACTTTAAATTAATAGCGTTTTGTAAAGGTTTACACTATAGAGGTCTGAAGTGGGCGGGTTTTCGCCAAAGCCCGACCACTCCTTGTTTTAAAATTTTTACACACCTTCCCATTGGTTTAAAAAAATTTTAACCGTCTACCCGCCCATTATTTTATGATTTTTTTAAACTCACGCTCGTCTTTTTCTTTCATTTTTTTTAAACATCTAAAAAGAATGATTCAGGATATATCTGCAAAAATATTTTATAATTTGAGAAAATACTAAAATTACGAATGTAAATTAAGAATTTATTTGATTAGAGAAAATAATCGAGAAAAATATAAAATTAGTTTATTTTGATATTATTTATAATTACAATGTAAAATAACAATGAATCCACATTATCTGGATTCTAAAATGTGCTTCTTGGCTCTATAAATCATCCAGTTATGTTAAATCCTTGTTCAAAAGAACCTCTAAAAGCTGGAGTTGCTAATATTTTTTTTAGCAAATCTTCTTGTCGTTTCCATCAAAGTAGAATATTCGTTTGAAGTTTTGCAATCCTTCAAAATCACAATAGTTATATTATAGTTATTTTGTCTATTATTAAGAGTTCTAATTTCTAAGAAATTTTTATTTATTGAATTATAAACGATTTCAATTTAAAAGGTTTGTAATATACATATATTTATATTATATCTCGAATATATAAAAGACAAGAACATACAGAAAAAAACAAACATTGTATTATGCATAAAATTATATTGCTAAATAAATAAGTAATATGAAATTTAATTTCCAGTAAATTTTTATTTATTGAATAATAATATATACCTTACTGAAAAAGATTTATAATATATATTTATATCTCGGATAAACAATGACAAAAACATTATTAATAATATATAAAACAACATTGTATAATTAGATGTATATTAAAAGTATATTACCGAATAAATAAAATAAGGAAGATTTTAATTTCTATAGACGGGCACCCTTTAATTATCTAAAAAATAACAGGTCCATCCGCAAATTTAAAAAATATTTTTAACCCGCCCGCCCACTGTTTAAAATTTTTTAATGAACGGGTTAAAACCCCTCTCATTACAGACCTCTACCTTACTATTTCAATATATTATTTATTTTATTTAGCCAAACACGCGTGCAAACATTTTGGGCAATTATTAACCCACCAAGCTCTTTCAATGATTGCGATGTCAGAGGACAGAGAAACTGCGTCTCGATTCATCAAATGTCTTTTCCAAGATTCGGGGAAAGATCTGGATCTCTTCTCTCTGTGTCAAGAAATATCGAACAACAATTCGATTGTTCAAGTTGATTATATTTTTGCCATACGGAGTTATGTCTCGTGAATCGTGATTAATGTTCGTTAGTCCCTACTTTTTAAAAAGAAAACTTTTTAAAAATTATCGTCTGTGATTTGTTAGCGGAATCGGTTGGTAACTAACTGTTAAAATCATAATTGATCGCAATTTTAAAAAAATACAATTAGTTTTCTAATCCGGTCAAAGATATTTTGAATCTTCCAAATGAGACTGATCATCCCAACGATACTGATCCAGAATTGCGCCATATGCTGAATGAGATGGAGAAAAATAAAGGTTTTTTTTATATTCATTGAAAAACGAGATTATTAAAAATAAATGTTCACGTCACACATATTACTCAAACATTATAATTTACAAGAAATACTGTCGAAAAGATAGAAACTTAGGGCACTCTTAACCTAAGGTAGGGGGGGGGGTATGACGTACACTGGAACTTAAAGAATAGTTTGATTTTACGTGAATGGGAGTCATTCCTTATATTCTTACTTGTATTCTTACTTATATTTTGTATATGTCAATTATAATTGCGAGGTGACAATGCAGATGTATGATCAGATCGGCGAAAAATTTGTGGACTGGCACAACCCACTTTGAGATGATTCTTACAATAAGTAGACAGAATTTTAAACGAGTGATGTTTTAGTAGGTTAAGACATAATGTTTTAGTCTTAGGATTTAGTTATATTACAGGTTATTACATATCAAATTGATCAGGATCTGATCGACCTTATGGGATCTGTAAGAGATTTTGTATACAAACTAAAAACCTGCAATCGATTTTTTTTTGGTCGCGACTGCTGCCGTGTGGCAATTTTTATTTCATTTAAGCCCTGTCTATGAAACCTTTTCTTCCAGCAGTTCGAATTTTTTAAAAGCATCCAAGGAAGAGATATCAATTTTTTTATTATCTCTCTTGATGTTAGGCAAAAGAAAGAATAGAGAGGATATATAACAATATTTTGGGCCACGAGCCGGGCTTGTATTTTGATGATTTTTCTACTGTAGGACTTATTCAAACTTAGGTACACTTGACTAAAACTTGATCCAAATTTTTGCATCCTGGCTCTTATATTTTAAGGATTTTTAGGGTCGAAGTATGAAAAACTACTTTTTTATTCTTATCGATTGCCATCCACTAATTAAATTGATTCTAATATCAAAATAGTGGCGGTCTAATTAGCCTTATTTTGAAGAAAATCCTTGTAAAAAATAATGGATTTCTCCCAATTTCGCAAAACTTTAAGCAAATATCACTAAAGCTAATCTAATTTTTTATTTAAAAAAATATTTTCGTTGGAATGGAAAGTTATCTCTATTATGGGAAGAATGAAAAAAAAAGAAATATTTTTTTATTCAATAGATACCATTATAATTAATTTTTAAAAATAAAAAAAAATCTGAGATGGAATAGCTTGAAAATATTTTTGAGTAATATGGTATATGCATGTAATTTACCGATTTTTAAATATTTTCCTGTCAATAAAAATCAAAATATATAAATATATGCTAAGATTCTTTACTACAATAAGAATCTATAATAACATTAATAGATTAATTATATATTCATCAATTTTATGAATGCGAAAAATTGGCATTCCATTTTTTTAAAAATACAGTCTTAATAAAATTGCCTAAAATTTTATAAAATTAAGAGAAACTCATCATTTTCTAGAAAGATAAACTTTGAATGGGGTTAAAAGAACCCTTACATTAAAAAATATAAAAGACAAAAATATTTTTTTAAAATGGAATATATACAAACGTTATTTTGTTATTAATCATTATTTATAATACGATATTTTTTGGTAAATATATAAATGAAGACAATCTATAAATGTGAAAATAGATTATTTTTCTTACTTTGATTCTCGATATCCAAAAATATAATAGCTAGGAAGCTTAAATTTAAACCATGCTTTAGTGTTAAGGCTCAAATCCTAAGAGGTCATTTGAAAATCATTATTTTTGATCGATTTGATATGGTACTACTAAAATTAAACGAAAAACGGGTAAAAATTCTATTTAGCAAGCATTTATTTTCGTTTGTAAACCATCTAACCACAAGATATATATGCCATGATTTTATTCTGGATAAGTTGAGCATAATAAATGATAGATACATTTCATAACTACTACTTCTGATTAAATATACCGTAATACACGTAATGTTAACTTTGTTGGACAACCTCAAGTGTAAAATACTCTATTTTCATAAGTCACTTATCTTGCTTCGATCCGCCGTAGGTTATCGCCCCCTAAACCACAATCATTATTTATGGTCTACTTTATGCCCCAATTATCATCTCTCTACCTAAATATTTCTTCTCAATTAAATCGAAAACTACTGCCCTACCTCTTTAAATACACTTTTCTCTCTTTCATCATATATTATAACATATCAATAACATTTATTCAAACTATTTAAACCAATTTAGAAGCATAATCTAATATAAAACGAAATAATTACATTTTAAAACATTTGCGAACACATGCGATTAGCGTGGCACACTCTTAAATTAACTTAGTGATAAGGCCTCTTAGACCGGATCTTAAGTCCTTATAAGTTTCCTTTATCATTTCCTATATCTCACCAAGGTGTCCCTAGCCTGAGAGAATCACGAATCAAAGACTTGGGTCAAAAGTTGGTATCGCTCGAAATACGTGATCGCCGCGAGGCCATTACCAAGATCAAAAGCTACTTGGAATTTTCCAAAGTTATCGCGCTAAAAACGTTCAATTCTATCGACCATAATTCGTCTGGAGATAGCTTTGTTTCAACCGAAATCGATCGGGAGAGGGCCATGAATGAGGAAATCAATGATTTAATCACCTATCATTACATGCGAAAGGTGTTCGAAATCATCGACGAAAACGGGATAGATATCGAAAAGGATATGGAAGCGTTCGGTACATATTATTTTTTATCATTCTTTCAAAGTTGCTCAAAAATTAGTTAAATTTAATTATGAAAGTGACCTCATCTTGTTAAATAATTTTTTTTAAATTAATTGATCGAACCGTTAAATTTTAGCATGTTTTAAACCTGAGGCCCCAAATTTTTAGTATACTTAATTTTTCAATACTAATTTAAATTGATTAATCTTTATTTACGGCCACAAAGATTTGAATATGAACCACCTCCCTCATTTCTACTTCAAAATTGCCGATTATTTCAACCAGAAAGGCTCTCATCTATTGGCAGGTGATTATTACCTCAAGGCCAATCTTTTGGAACAAGTTACTAATATTTAATTATTTACATATGTTATTATAGAGATTTATCAATAGAAACTGACTTTATGAGAACGAAAATATATACATGTGCCGTTTGAATTAGAAGGACTATCTTTATTTTCATCCGTTCCAAACCAAAAAAAAACATTTATAAAAAAAATTATTTATTTTTATATTAGACTTAATTTATAGTTAATTCAATTGTAAAAAGTGTTTACATATCCGAGTTTCCCATCGAAACTAACAATCCGTATAAATCTCGAATTTTATATTAGACTTAATTTATAGTTAATTCAATTGTAAAAAGTGCTGTTTACACTATTTTGTACTCTTAATCCGAGTTTCCCATCGAAAATAACAGTCCGTATAAATCTCGTTTTAGACAATAAATTTATCTAATATCACGATTAGTATTATATAATGACACGTTACAAAAGTAACAGCGTTACTTAATGTTTTAAAAGTAACGATTTGAACGCTTAATTTTTACGTTACTGGTTACTTTATATTTTATTACTTTTATTTTAATATTGTTTAGGTTTTTTAAAAAACCTTAAACAATTTCCAAACATAAACACCTTTTTTTATATAAAATATAATATACTCCTGCCATCCTCAGCATCAATTGAACTGGTGTTTAAATATGGTGCTGATATTGTTTATCAGATAGAAACTTAAAAAAAAACAATCATTATTAAAAATTAATAAAATTGTTTAAAAATAAAATAAGAGAATTCATAATATTATTATAATAAATATATGCGCCTTTTTCTTTGAATTTTTTTGATTTAATATAATAAATACCTATATCGATTTATAAAATACAAGGAAAACAATTTATGCTATCTTTTTTCAAAGTAAATGGTTTAGAGACTTTTAAATATAAATAAGATTTTTACAGAGTATCACGAGATGTATAACGCGAAATATAATGACTTTACTGTTTTTGAGTAACATAGATAGCTTTACGACTAATAGATCGCTCATCGGTTAAGCATTATTTTTTTTTTTATTCTCACCATAATATAAAAATAATTGTATTATTTATAAAGGCTCTTAAAAATTATTTAACCTGCGCGAAATCAATTACCGAAGATTGTCGAATATCATCTCCCAAGGATACCTCAGATTACGATAAAGCCATTACTGGCCTCCTCACAACCATAACCAGGCTTTACACACCCGATGACGCTTATTCGAATCGAGATATTGAAAATAAAACTGAATCATTTCCTTTCGATCATTTTACGGAGACTAAAAGGGAACACGCCCTTAACGAAGTTGTAACCTTTCTACTGAGACCGAATAATTATGAAAAGGTAAATATAAAGAGACATGTAAATTGCCTTTATTCCCCATTTGGTAAGTTTTATGGTTCAGACGTAAATATTAAAGAATAAAAAGATGTGTTCTTTTTTAAAGCTAAAATATAAGGATATTTGAAATGATTGATTTTTATGTGACGTTAATATTTAGAACAAAATGTCAGATAATAAATATTAAATTTGATCCATTTTACTATACTTATTTAGGATTTGAAGACACTTTTGAATCTATATATATACTGCGGAAAAATATCTGAATCTAACAAGATAGCCTTAATCATATGTGACATGGAAAAGGAAAATGGTGAATTAGATATATTATATATAAAGCCAGGATTTATTTTGAAAAAAAATATAATCGGCCGGGAAATAAAATTATAATTGGCTGGGCCGTTCATATATATAAATTTTTCGGCGGAGCAGGACAATTTATATATAAAAAAATGAGACAGTGCCTTGCAAATCTCTGATTTCGTAAAATTTTAATAGGCCAGCCTGGACCATAAAATTATATATATTTTTTTTGGTTTTCAAGCTAATAATTTGATTAATACTGTTTCAAAACAAATTAGAATATGCTTATTTATTCAGCTGTCTAACCAAAATGGGCCGGGCTGGTAAATTTTTTAAAAAGTTATAATGGGCCGGGCATAGCAACTTATGCACAAATTCTTAACGGGTGGGTTCTCCACATTTCTGATATCTAGGATAGTTTGAATTATTATCAGAAGTCCATTGGCAAGTTGTTACACGGGATTAAAAAATTAAACCATATGGATAAAAAAACTTTGTAAATGGCTTGCGCTCAAAATATTTTATAGGAGGGGAACTGGCTTGAGAGATTAGACGAAAGATGTGAGTGATTATGTAGTACCAATATTTTAAAACCGTTTTTATATTAAATTTTTTATCTCATTATTAAGTTTTGATATGTTTAAACTATTAATCGTTAGGAAATGCTTGGATCGGTGATGATAAATTGTAAAATTTGTTATTTTTTTAATTATTTTGGCTAAAGTATGTTTGGTAACTTTTTTAAAAGGATTGTTTGAAGATGCTCACAGAATACTTTATCAAACATACAAGAGCTTGATTTTAAATATGAACAAAAATGAGGCTCAACAAAATAAGGTCATCATATCGGACCATTTGGATTTACAATTAATGCTTTTGCACAGTTACAAGATTGCTAAGGTAATATATATTTTATTTAATTTTAAAACCAATTAACGAAAAACGATTATTCGCATTTACAGATCCAAATGAAATCCAAGATGAACGATCTTTCGGCCAAACTATTGATGAGGTTGATCTTCGAATTTCCTTCGCAATTTTTCTTCTCCAGCCCTTCCATTAAAAGCGAAGGGGTGAAAAATTTAAATCAGCATGCACTTTTTAATCTCAATGATACACTGAGTGATATAAACCAAATCAGCGATAATTTCGAAAACATCTTATCCGTCGCCAGGATAAAAATATACCATTCCGTTCTGATATCAGCGGCTCTGCAGTGCTGGAAAGCGGGGCTCGAGGCGGCAGCTTATAAAATCGCCGTTTTGATATTCGAAAAAGTAAACGAGCACAAGAAGAATCAAGGCAGGCCCGAATTTATAATGTCTCAGCCTAACAAAATCAAGTTGCAAAATATTATAAGGTTTAAGTTTTTAAATATATTCCGGGTATAATTAAAAGCAAGATAAATTGTTTTGTATAGTTTTTTTTAAGAAAAAAGGAAGGGTTGGGCTGTGTCCTAAACCTGGTTTAAAAATTCACAAAAATAAAATCAGAAGTTTTTAAATTTTAATCAAATCGAAATTTTAAAATTTTTTAAAATTATGTTTAAAGACAATCTTTTTATTTTTATATTAAAATTAGCTTATTTCTTTTTTTTTCGTTAAAGTTTCAAAAGTTTAGGAAATATACTTTTAATATTTAGGACACAGTCTTAAACGAAATAAAGAATTATTTAGCATTATCAACATTTATATCAAACTTTCATGAATAATTTTTTCAAATTAAATTTTTAGCGCTCTGATTTTTTTTAGAATAATTGTAAAAAAAATAAATAATTCTTTCTCTAACTCTAAGAAAATATAAAGAAGTATCTCGTCACCATTCGCCGGAAAAATCCGATAGTCTAAATTTATACCAGCTCGTGCCTTGTAAATTTTGCGGAACGGATTTCGAGAATTACAAAATCGTGTGCTCAAAATGCGGTGAAATCAATTGCCATCCTTATTGCATTTTGACGGGACTGAGACTCAATAAAACGGTCTTATCCGAGATCGAAAATACCGAGGGGGGGAGTCGTGATGATAAGATGGTATCTGAAATGATTGGTTGTTGCCCATCGTGCAATTTTCCTTACCTAAAAAGCGCGGCAAAAGAGTTTAGTTAATTAATATGTTAAATAGAATACAAAATTAAATTTGCATTATGAGGTGATACAACTGTAGGCCCTTGAGCTTGGCTATAAGGAGGGTATTGTAATAGATTTTAATAGTTATGCCACCAGATGGTTAGCCATTTTACCCTTAGCCATTTTACCCATTATAAAGTATAGATTTAAGACGATATTTCTTGGTGGGGGACAGTGGCGTAGCCAGAATTGATCCAGGGGGGTTAAAATTTTTTGTGGGCTTCACCCCCAAACCGCATTTTAAAAATTTGCCAATTTTGTGCTTTATTGGTGTCTAACCACTATAGTAGTCAGCATAAATAAAATAAATATTAGTAACAAAATTTTGGCCATTTATGATTAATATGCGACTGAAAGCATTATTCTGAAAATGTTATCAATGTTTAGCCAATTGTAAATTAATTCAATCCATTCGGTGTAGAAAGAAGAATAAAATCGCCCCCAAACCTCCCATTTTTTATGATTACTCAATATATCTTATTCTATGTTAAAAATAAATATTTTAATTAAATTTTTGCATATAACAAATTTTGCAGAGAATTTCATTATAGATTTTATTTATTATTTATTTAATAAAATAAATTTCAAAATGTATAAATTTTATACAGATTATATTAAAAATTTATTCTAAATAACTATATTTAAAAAAAATAGAATTACAATAAAATATGAGTAATTCTTGTGCGGTATTTAAAAAAATCTAATTTAACAATTATAATATAATTAATACAAATGAGTATATTAGGACGGGTTGGGTTGGGCCTTGGAAATTTTTTTAAATTTTTTATGTGAAATAAAAATATTTGATTTTATTTATAAAAACAAGACGCCATATAACATATATCTTTTATTTTGAGTAATTATAAAAATGAATTTCTATATTTAAATAAATTCGGGCTAGGCCGACAAAACTTTTTAAAAAAAATTTCGGGTTCGGGCCGATAAAACTTTTTTAAAATAATTTCTGGCAGGACCGGGTTTGAAAAATTAGACGCGACGATATTTTTTAAAAATAGTATAATATATAAATATTATAACTAAGAATTCATTATAATTACTTTTTGAATATAAAAATTTTATGACTAAGATCATATTATAATAATATAGCTATTTTATAATTTGAATTTATAAAGAGATCTACATTTATTTGAGATTTCACTAATTCATCAAGAATCAAATTTTTATCTAGAATAATCTCCTTATAAATATTTAATATTGTGAATCCATTTAAACGGCTTTCACCGGTGCTATTTCTTAAATAGGGTTTTAACCTTTTCAAAGTTGAAAAAGACCTTTCATTAGTGCCGGTGCTAATCGGTAAGGTAGCTAAGATAAAAAGCAATGTTTTGATATTAGGCAGGGAATCTAAAGTGCAATTATACATGGAAAGGGCCTGCAAAGCATATTTTGGTCTCTTCTGTCACCAAAATTCGACATCACAAAGTAATTTATCATATGATCCTGATAATTCATCAGAATAAAACTGAGATTTTCTTAATATCCTCTCGCGTTTCAAGTGTATTTAGACTCAAACGGCAAAAGAAAATAAAAGCTGTTTAAAATAAAATTGTGACTAATAAATCTTTCTTTTATTGAAATAAAAATGTATCAATAAGGGGAGTAAAAATATTTATTTTATAAAAATCCTCAATTGTAGGCATCAATATTTAAGCGATTGGACTATCTAGAAACTACTCTAGGTTTAAAATTTTTAATCCCAAACATATTAGCGATTACCTTTACTTTCTCATTATATTTACCAAATTAAATGATTTTTCTTTTATTTAAAAATTATAAAAAATTAATTTAAATTTATAAACTATGCGAGAAAAAATTTACAATATATTTTTATTGTTATTTAATATTTTACCTATAATTTTTGATATATATTTTTAAACCATGTTATCATTTAAAATTAAAAATTCTCATTTGTTTTTTTAAATATATTTCATTTTAATATCGTATATAATTTTATTTATAAATTGAAAACCATTTTTAAATAAAATTATTTGCAATAAGAAAAATATTAAAAAAATAAATTTTTTTCGGAGGTTATAGTGGGGTTTCAACCCTACCCCCCCCCCCCCTCCTTCTCTACGGCACTGGTGGGGGAGGACTTCTTTAATTAATTTAACTAATATAGTTTAATTCAAGACGACTAAAAAACGGTTTCTTTTGTATTATTTAGTTTTTTTTATATTCTCAATTTTAAAATAAATTTAGATATATAAAGGCAAGCATAGAACAATGTCCGATGTGTGAATCATGTGAAATATCAAAATTTTGAATTTCTTTCGCTATACAATTTTTATTATAACATTTTTTTTAATAAAAGAAAAAATATGCCTTTTTTATTCAGGGATTATATTTATACGTATATTATATGTTATAAGTATTTTATATGTTATATGTATATAATGTGTAATATGTATATCATATTTTTAAAATATTCGCAAATAAAATAATTAGGCGGCAATATATGCTCATTTAGGTGTTGTAATACAAATACTAAATGTGAATTATATTTCGAAAATCAAACTTCAAAGTTTTTTTAAATAAATTTTTTCTAACTAAATTCCTGACCGTCTAATATAATTTAAAAAAATATATATTATATTATTGCTTAAAATTAATGATATATGTCGAAGTCAAGTTTTAAATCTTTCAATTAAAAATTATTATCTTCAATAAATTTGTTGTTATTAAATTGTTTGATTCCCAAAAAGCAAACCAAATTTCCTATTTAATAAAACATTTCAGAATTGAAAAATTTTAGGGATAAAAAAGTTAGGAAGAGTAAACTATATTTGTTAAATTTTTATTGAGAGAAAATATTTTGCTTTATACAAAAATTTATATGCCTATATACCGATTTTTAAAAATAAATCAAGATCATTTTTTATATTAAATCAGAACATCGAACTTTAATTCGGCGTTTTTAGATTTTATTAGATTCCAAGGGTTTTTGTTATCAGTTCCAACAGTTAGTAAAAAATGAAAAAAAATTAAACCTTAAGTAGATACAATTCCTCTAAAATGAATCACAACAGTTTGTAGAACCGTTTCGGGTTTTTATAAAATTTAGGTATCTGCTCCTAGAAATTTTAAGAAGCGGGCGTTCCTAGTATATTTGTAGTGTTGTTAAAACGCCGCGAGTCGCGACCCCGACCCAAAGCTCGGGTCGTTTTATTCGACTCCGACTCAATGTTTGGGTCGTTTTTTTCGACTTCGACCCAAAATATGGGTCGTTTTTTTCGACTCCGACCCAAGTCCAAGCCGAAAAAACGACCTCGACCCAAAATATGGGTCGTTTTTTACGACTCCGACTAAAAATTTGGGTCGTTTTTTTCGACTTCGACCCAAAATATGGGTCGTTTTTTACGACTCCGACTAAAAATTTGGGTCGTTTTTTCGACTTCGACCCAAAATATGGGTCGTTTTTTACGACTCAAACTTGAAGTTTGGGTCATATTTTTCGACTCAAACTTGAAGTTTGGGTCGTATTTTTCGACTCAAACTTGAAGTTTGGGTCGTATTTTCGACTCCAACTCAAAGTTTGGGTCGTTTTTCTGACTCAGACTCAAACATCGGGTCGTTTTATTCAATCCGACCCAAAATATGGATCTTTTTTTTTAAAGTCGACTTAAAGTTAGGGTTGCTTTTTTTCACCCTTAACCCAATATCTAGATCATTTTTTTTGACCAAAAGTCAAATAACATTTAGTATATATTAATATTATAGGCGGGAAAGTTACTTAAAGCTTCTTTAAATTATAATACTCTGGATTAACTATTCATCATAGTTATTTTTTAAAATTTTTAAGTGAAAATGCACCATAGAAAAGAGCCATTTGTTATGATGGTTATTTTTGAACTTTTTTAAATGAAATAGATAAAAATATATATTGTAGACATGTTAAATCAAAATTTCAGTGAAGATGTACCATAGATAAGTGACAATTGTCATAATCGCCATTTTTGAGCCTTTTTGAGTTTTTTTAAAGGAAATAGCTAAAAATATATATTCTAAACATGTTAAATTAAAAATTCAGTGAGGATGTATCATAGATAGGTGACAATTGTCATAATCGTTATTTTTGAACTTTTTTCAATTTTTTTAAAGGAAATAGCTAAAAATATATATTGTAGACATGTTAAATTAAAAATTCAGTGAGGATGAATCATAGGTAGGTGACAATTGTCATAATCGTTATTTTTGAACTTTTTTCAATTTTTTTAAAGGAAATAGCTAAAAATATATATTCTAAACATGTTAAATTAAAAATTCAGTGAGGATGTATCATAGATAGGTGACAATTGTCATAATCGCTATTTTTGAACTTTTTCAAATTTTTTTAAAGGAAATAGCTATATATATTCTAAACATGTTAAATTAAAAATTCAGTGAGGATGTATCATAGGTAGGTGACAATTGTCATAATCGTTATTTTTGAACTTTTTTCAATTTTTTTAAAGGAAATAGCTAAAAATATATATTCTAAACATGTTAAATTAAAAATTCAGTGAGGATGTATCATAGATAGGTGACAATTGTCATAATCGCTATTTTTGAACTTTTTCAAATTTTTTTAAAGGAAATAGCTAAAAATATATATTCTAAACATGTTGAATTAAAAATTTAAGAGGATGTATCATAGATAGGTGACAATTTTCATAATCGCTATTTTTATCATTTTTTAAAGAAAATAGCTAAAAATATATATTCTAAACATGTTAAATTAAAATATCAGTGAGGATGTATCATAGATAAGGGACAAAAAATGTTATTATATATACGAGTAGTAAGGTACATAATAATTTTTAAGTGATAAAATGAGATGCTAATATATTTCTTGTAATTTTAATTTATAAAAAAATTCTTAAATATGTTATTGTCATAGACTGGGTCAGAAAATCAACTATCACATAAACTCATCTATGTTTTATTCATATTATATTAAGTTTGAGGATATTAAAATATTTCCTCTTTGAAGTTTCTAGTTAGGATAAAATTTACTTGGCACATCTTACAATGATATTTATACCTTGTTTTTTTTTCGAGAATAAATTTTATGCGATATTTCATGAAGGAAATTACATATCATTGTACAGAGAAATAACTTTGTATATATTATCTGCACCAATATCTTTTATATCAATCTCTATCGATGACATTTTAAATTATATTGGAAAACTAGATTGTGTAGATTTATAATTATTAATTTAAAGGATTAAGATTTTAGAATTAATTATAAATATATCTTAATAATTTTTATATGCATTTAATATTTAAAATCTCTCGTTATAAGCCTATTTAGCAAGAAAAATATTGACTAATCCTGAAATTACGATAATAGATATCTATACCTTTATATAATCTATGAGAAAAATTGCTCTCATAATATTCTTCTTAATAAAATAGTGAATAATTAACGCCTGAAAAAAAGTATAGCGCTTTATAACATGGTTCAAAGTTAATCCCAGTATCAATTTTAATTTGTAATTTTTCTCAAGTGTTCAAAATTCTAAATCTTAATATCAATTTAGTCAAATAATATTAAAACACTAATATTCTCCAGTATTCATAAAAAACAACAGCCTGAAACAAGAATACTAAGCTCAAATCATCTTAAATATTTGATACATTTATAGTTTAAATATTTTTATTTAAATTATATATATTTATTAATGTACAAAAAATTTAATTTAACAATATATATAGATATAAAAATTATGTATAAAATTTATTATTCATGATATTGATATCCCATGAATTTAAACATAAACACTGTTTAAGTGTTTCGGAGGCCATGCGATTTCTTTTCTTTGTTACGGTGTCCACCCCTCTTGAGAAGACACGCTCGCTCTCAACGGATGTACTTTGCTGCGACAAAAAATCTTTAGCCAACATGCAAAGGTACGGAAAACGCTCAGAATTACAGTACGACTTAAAAAAACTCGACTTAACACTACATTTATGAAAAATATGGCTCGCCTAAATTATTAAATTATATTTAAAAAAATTCATATTTTAATTGAAAAAATGCATCCGGAATCGCAAATACTTATTTAAAAAATTTATTGTTTTATTAGTTTAAAAATTCCATATGGAAGTGAAGTGACTATTTAAATTCTAAAATTATAAAAGATATTTTATTTTACTTTTAGTGGTGCCAGCTAGACGGCAAATTTGTTGAGATTTTTTCTTTTCTTCATTTTTAGGGATAAGGATATGATTAATAATCATTTTTTTTAACTTTCCAAATTTTTTTTTATTATTTTTAGGGGTATAAATCTAAATTTTTTTATTTTATTCATTTTTTGTTTTTAAAATTATAATTTAATATTATTAACATAAATTTTATTAATAAAAGTTCTCCAATTTAAATCATTTCTTAAATGTTTTACACATTAAAATTGATACTGGGATTAACTTTGAACCATGTTATAAAGCGCTATACTTTTTTTCAGGCGTTAATTATTCACTATTTTATTAAAAAGAATATTATGAGAGCAATTTTTCTCATAGATTATATAAAGGTATAGATATCTATTATTGTAATTTCAGGATTAGTCAATATTTTTCTTGCTAAATAGGCTTATAACGAGAGATTTTAAATATTAAATGCATATAAAAATTATTAAGATATATTTATAATTAATTCTAAAATCTTAATCCTTTAAATTAATAATTATAAATCTACACAATCTAGTTTTCCAATATAATTTAAAATGTCATCGATAGAGATTGATATAAAAGATATTGGTGCAGATAATATATACAAAGTTATTTCTCTGTACAATGATATGTAATTTCCTTCATGAAATATCGCATAAAATTTATTCTCGAAAAAAAAACAAGGTATAAATATCATTGTAAGATGTGCCAAGTAAATTTTATCCTAACTAGAAACTTCAAAGAGGAAATATTTTAATATCCTCAAACTTAATATAATATGAATAAAACATAGATGAGTTTATGTGATAGTTGATTTTCTGACCCAGTCTATGACAATAACATATTTAAGAATTTTTTTATAAATTAAAATTACAAGAAATATATTAGCATCTCATTTTATCACTTAAAAATTATTATGTACCTTACTACTCGTATATATAATAACATTTTTTGTCCCTTATCTATGATACCTCCTCACTGATATTTTAATTTAACATGTTTAGGATATATATCTTTAGCTATTTGCTTTAAAAAAATTGGAAAAAGTTTAAAAATAACGATTATGACAATTGTCACCTATCTATGATACATCCTCACTGAATTTTTAATTTAACATGTTTAGAATATATATTTTTAGCTATTTTCTTTAAAAAATGATAAAAATAGCGATTATGAAAATTGTCACCTATCTATG